GCAAAACTGGACACAGTACTCCAGATGTGGCCTCATCAGTGCTGAGTAGACGGGAATAATCACTTCCCTGGATCTGCTGACAATGCTTGTACTAAGGCAGCCCAGTATGCTGTTAGCTTCTTTCCAACAAGGGCATACTATCGAGGGTTACAGTAAACAAAAAACTGCATGTAAGTCAACTGCGTGCCCTCGTTGCAAAGAAGGCTAATGGCATACTGGGCTGAAATAGTAGGAGTGTTGCCAGATCAAAGGAACGTGATTCTTTTCCTCTATTTAGCCATGGTGAGGCCACATCTGGAGTACTGTTTCCAGTTTTGGGCCCCCACTACAGAAAGGATGTGGACAAATTGAAGACAGTCCAGCAAAGGGTAACAAAATGGTTAGGTGGCTGGGCACATAATTTCAGGCTCTGAGAGGCAGGATTGCTGCTGCTGCAGCCCCAGGAGTTCCCCAGATCCCCAGCTAAGGCTGCTTGGCCCAAACCAGTGCTGGCCCCCGCCTCCCCTAGTCCTTCCAGAGTAATTTGTCACATGCCAGAAGGCATCTGGCACAGGCGTTCCCTGGGGACAAGTAGCAGAAACACAAAGTGTCCTGCTGCTAGTTGTCCCTGGGGATAAAAATGTCCATGCTCATGTGGACAGGGCCTTAGTGTTTGCTTCTGTCAGCATCCTAGAAGCACAAACAGTTAAACCTCACTGCTTCAAATGATCAGCTCTCCACCACCTGCCTTTTTCCTTTATAACTATTAAGAGCTTTTAAATTAAAAAATACATATTTTTCCCAACAGAAATGATTGTGGTATTTCATTTTATGAGAATGTAGCTGCAGTGAACTCAATGTGCAAGGAGTGGGATTACATTTTGAGGCCTTTCCATAATACCATTAAATAACAGTGTAATTAAAGGCTCCAGCAATTCACCATCTCTTTTCACATGGAATTACTTCAGATGTCTGGCATATACTCTTTGTTGTTCAAAGACATTACAGTCCATACAGTCAATAATCTTCAAATTAAAAATTCAATAAGTAAATGCATTAAAAATTGCACACTTCCAATTCAGTCTATACTCCCAATTAAGTCTGTTTAGGGCTAGAAGGAGGTTTTACAAGGTACTGACCTCTGGGAGACTATGAAACAATTTCAGTAGACCTCTGGTCATACTCAGTGCAGGCCTAGTCACATTATATTTGTGGGACTAGAGTTTGCTAGCTGGATTCAATTCTATAGATAAAAGTGAAAAAAACCTTAAAAAGCATTGTAAATCACATGCATCACAATTCAAACAAATTGGGTAATGTTTATCTACAAATGGAGATTCTATCTGCCTTGATCAGGACCAGGATTTCACACTGCACCCATAGAACCAGCATCTTTAACCATCCTACTGCCCTGGCTGAGTGCCTCTGAATCAATGCATCAATATAAACTTAACGGAAACAGTACCTTTTACTGAATAATCAGACACTTCCTGCAAGACTGATGTGTGGGTTTCCTCTCTAAGTACTTGTTATCCCAGGTTTCTGAGTTCAGTCAGGAGAACTCATCAAGGTGGTGTGGTGAAAACCCCTTACTGACTGTGGCTACATGAGAGTTCAGTGAAAGACACTGAACTCAAATGCCCATAGAGTCATTTTTAACTTTCTTTTAAATAAAAGAAAGCACATGCATGCATATCCTTACCTATACTCATTGTACCCAGTTTTCAGAGGAATTACTGGCCCTTTTTAAAGGGGATTTAAAGCTGGTGAAAGGAGATGGGTCAGTAGAACTGGGGATTGAGTGGCTGCAAACTGGCACAATCCCAGCATGGTGGCATATTCTTTTCCACTAAAAATCAGTATGTGACCCCAAGTGAGGGACTGGATCATTTTCTGTGTTCATGTAATCCTTGGCATCTTTGCTAGGATTTGCAGGAGGAGTAAATAGCAAAATGTGCCTATAGGGAAGTTGTAAGTAATTGTGCATATCAGCAATGACAGTACTCAGAAGGTTTGGAAGTGTGGTTTAGTTTGCATAAGCACTTGAATCCTTATGCAAGCTGGTATAGCTTGAGTGTCTTCCTTTTAATTCCCCTTTCTGTCTGCCTGCCTACTTTCTATCTAGGTGTTACCTCTTGCCTTGGGTACTCTGAGGCAGTGCTTGCAGCCCAGACGCTCTCTGGTGTGAATTATCAGGTGTGAAGCTGAAGATTGTTCTCCACTTAGCTCTTGTGCAAGAGGAGGCCCTTCTTTCCATCTCACGCTCATATGCCAGGCACAGATTTTGCACTTTTAACCTGTATAAGTGTTCGGAACCTGGTCCATACCCGTTACAGAAGAATCTCAGCACACAAAACCAGTCTATACCTGTAACAGGACTGAAGTTCGGCACACACAGACAGGTGTAAAAATGGTGAAACTCAATCTAAGATTTGCCTCCCCACACCAAAGGGCAAATGTGTGTTCTGTTCACTTCTGATCTAAACCATACTGCTTACAGAAAACCACATAACTTAGATTAATTCTGCATCAGGCTTTTTGAATGTCTGTACCTAGCCATATTTCCTTGGGGTGTATGTTGGCTCCTGTCATACAAACATAAGAGCCTCCTTGGGGTAAGCCAACTTTGAAGCTGACTCTAAGAGTCAGCCTTACCTTGAATCTTAACCTTAACTAACAGGAGTGGTATTTTTCAAAATGTGTTGTACGCCCAACCACACCTTCCCTTGGGTGTGGATATGGGAGGATCCAGAAGGCGTGCAATGGTGCAGTTTTACCCCCCTTCTGGATTCCTGGTCTACCTATTTGTACTCAGGCACTGCTGAGGGAGTCAGCTGACTGCGAGACTCATTATTATCAACCTGATTCCTACTAACCTTTCTTCATTCCTCAGGTATTAATGACCCTCTCTCTTCTTTAATGGTCTTGATCTTACACTAGTTGAGCTATCCTTTCTTCTGCTATGCTGCTGTTTGCTGCTTCTGGTAATGTAGCACCTATATCACAGCCTTGCAGACTGTTTTTAACTGTAGCTACAAACATTAACTCAGGTGTGGAAACAACTTTCAGTAAAGTATTGGATACACTGTGAAGATGCTCAAGAAGTCTATATATTGTTTCATGAACCTGTAAAACAGATGTACATGTATTTGTAATGACTACAGGTCTAATAAACAACATCTTTTGATTATTTTTTGCTCAGTTGTGTTTTTACGTAATATATCATATAGAAAATTAATGTATGTTCCAGGAAAGTTATATTTGGTTTTGTTTGAATCTTAAACTGAATAATATAGCTCTAGGCCCCTAGGTTTTTAGTAAAGCTTTGAGCTCCTTTTTTAAATTGGAGAAAAGTTTGTGTTGTGTTATGTGCAATGATAGATCATACGACCTGCACCCCACTTTTTAACATCTTAGATCTGCCCATGGGCGTGGATGATGTTTCTTATTAACAGCCTTGCTGACTCATAGATTCATAGATGTTAGGGTCAGAAGGGACCTCAGCAGGTCATTGAGTCCAACCCCCTGCCATGGGCAGGAAAGAGTGCTGGGGTCAGACGACCCCAGTTAGGTCCAGTCTCCTCTTGAAGACCCCCAGGGTAGGAGAGAGCACCACCTCCCTTGGCAGCCCATTCCAGATTCTGGCAGCCCTTACTATGAAGAAGTTCTTTCTAATGTCCAACCTAAATCTGCTCTCTGTCAATTTGTGGCCATTGTTCCTAGTTACTTCAGGGGGTGCCCTAGTAAATAGAGTATCTCCTATTCCCTGCTACCCTCCCCTGATGAATTTATAGCCAGCCACAAAATCACCTTTCAGCCTTCTCTTGCGAAGGCCAAAGAGATCTAGGTCCCTCAGTCTCTTCTCGTAGGACCTCGCTTGCAGGCCTCTGACCATACAAGTGGCCTCCTCTAAACCCTCTCAAGATTCTCCACATCCCTCTTGCAGTGTGTCACCCAAAACTGGATGCAGTACTCCAGCTGTGGCCTGACCAGTGCCACATATAGGGGAAGCGGCACCTCCCTGGACCTGTTTGTCATGCATCTACTAATGCATGATAAAGTGCGGTTAGCCTTGTTGATTACTTCATCACATTGATGACTCCAAAATTCCTTTCCGCTGCTGTGCTGCTGAGAAGGTCATCCCCCAGCCTGTAAGTGTGTTGGTGGTTTTTTTTGCCCAGGTGCAGCACTTTGCACTTGTCTGTGTTAAACTGCATCCTATTTGGTTCTGCCCATTTTTCCAACCTGTCCAGATCTGCCTGGATCCATTCCCTACCCTCTGATGTGTTTACTTTGCCCCATAATTTGGTATCATCTGCAAACTTGGACAGGGTGCTCTCCATGCCCTCGTCCAAGTTGCTGAAGAAGACATTGAATAGCACCAGTCCAAGGACCGAGCCTTGCGGGGCTCCACTGCCCACATCTTTCCAGGTCGGTATTTACCCATCTACCATCACTCTCTGGGTACAACCCCTTAGCCAATTTGCCACCCACCTGACTGTAATCGTCTACATCACAGCCTGTCAGTTTATTTACGAGAACAGAATGTGATATCATGTCGAAGGCCTTCTTAAAGTCTAGGTAGATGACATCTACCTCAACTCCTGCATCTAAGCATTTTGTGACCTGGTCATAAAAAGAAAGAAGGCTAGTCAGGAAGGATCTACCTGCAATGAACTCATGCTGATTTCCTTTCAGCATTATTTCCCCTGCTGGGGTCCCACAAATGTGATCCTTAATGATTTTTTTTCCAGAGTTTTCCCAAGAATAGAAGTGAGGCTAACTGGCTTAAACAGCCATGCCAGCGGCTCTGCTATGACACCGGCCAATTCCTTCAGCACCGTTGGATGAAGTTCATCAACGCCTGCTGATCTGAACACATCCAGCCCATCCAAGTGCCCCTTCACTAAGTCTGCACTAACAGTTGGTGGGCTGGTGTCCCAGCCGTGTCTATCTATGATCCAACTGAGAGATTTATCTTGGTCTGTGTTTAGGAATACAGATGAAAAGAACTCATTGACGAGCTCAGCTTTGTCCCCCCTCTCTGTCACAGGGGCACATTAGGTGGAAGTCCTGTATGCACG